TTTTTTTTTTTTTTTTAATTTTTATTTTCATGATAATCAAATATAGATTTATAATACTTATACACCCTGTTTAATCAATTGAAATAGACTCTCCTGTTAAATCTACTTTAATATTTAACATAGAATGCATGTGAAAGGATTAATTGCAAGTTTTGTATATACGAGAGGTGAAATTTTCTTAGAGCTTTGTTTGATTCTCTTATCACATTTTTTTTTTCAAAAACAATTTTTAAATTTCACATTATTTGGTGATCAATTTGTTATTTAAAATCTATTAAGTTTTTAAAATAGATTATAAAATAATTGTTTAAAAAAACATAAATAATATGGAGATATTTTTTCTTCCTCTTTTTATTTCTTCAAATGCTCTGTTCAAATATCCAGGAGAAAACAATCATACTTTCAAATGTTCTCGGAACACATAAAATTTTGTAAAAGAAAAAAAAAAAGAAAATTAAACAAACAAGGCATTTGTATTTGAGACATTTGTATTTGTTTCATTTCTATTAGTTTCTTTGCTAAAAAGTTATTTTAACTATGTTCATTTATAATTAAATAACTTGCCTTTATTACAGCCTATAAATTGGTTGCCATTAAGTGTTTTCATTTATATTATTTATTATTTTATCTTTGGTAGTGATAGGTGATAAACGGAAAAGCATGGTCGCCAATGAAATGAAGGAGTAGAATAAATGTTAGGAGATAAAAAAGAAAGAAAGAAAAGAAGTTGTCAGGTGACAGAAGCAGCTTTATCTTCTTTTTCTGAGGTCGCTTCCATCGCCTTTGATAGTAATGATTCCTGAGGGCTGAGGCTGAGGCAAAGCTACCATTTTAAATGCCTCTTTCTGTGTGTATGTAAAATCTTTGTTTCGCAGAAAGTTGTGTCTCAGATCCCTATATACACCCAAAACGATACCATACAATACAACCCATTAGCCTAGCCTGGTCCAATGCAAGAACCCACCCTCCGGATGATGGCCGCCGATCACCACCGCCAGCTCAAGGCGGAGATAGCCACTCATCCGCTCTACGACCAGCTTCTGGCCGCACACGTCGCCTGTCTCCGAGTGGCCACTCCCATCGACCAGCTTCCACTCATCGACGCTCAGTTATCTCACTCTCACCATCTTCTCCGCTCTTATGTCTCTCAACACACCCACGCTCTCTCCCCCAACCATCGCCAAGAACTCGACAACTTCCTCGTTCGTTCCTTAATTTCACTTTCCACTATTTCTTTTTTCATTTCTTCCAACTAATTTTACCCTTCTTAATTTGCAGGCACAGTATTTGATTGTTTTGTGTACTTTCAAAGAACAGCTTCAGCAACACGTCAGAGTCCACGCCGTCGAGGCTGTCATGGCCTGCCGTGACATCGAAAACACCTTACAAGCTCTCACAGGTACACACTACACACACAAACCCTTTTTTTTTCTTTCTTTTTTTCTTTTTCTTTTTCTTTTACTGCCTATTTCTTTTTATTGGATTACATTTACATCCATCCATTACAATATACATACAACCTATTATCATTCATATTCCCTTTTATATATATATATATATATATATATATATATGTGACGTTGCTATTTCTGTGGGAGCACGTAAATTTAATTTTCTCGCTATAGGTTTATGTTTATGTTATATGCAGTTTTTTTTTTATTTGTTTGACGCGATTTAGCTGAAGGGAAGGAAGTTGGATATTTTCTTTTCCAAAACTTTTTCTTGTCGGTTTAATTAGGCCATGGTAGGGTCTATGAATGGATTATACACAAATGGCAATGGGAAGAGTTAGTTAGTTTGGTGAGGAATGGTAGACCCTCCTCCTCTCACCATGCCACCACTGCCAACGACTTCTAATGCCGTAAACCAATAATTTCGTTTCACAAAGTTTTCTTACCCTTCCTATTATTTTATTATTTTACTTGTATGTTTCCAAGTATTTAGTTAAACCAAATGAGAGTGGGGCACGGGTAAATCAGACAAATTACGAGATGACAATGATTAGAAGCAGTAACATGAGACACACTTGGAACAGTTGATTGACCGTTCCTCGATTGTTTTCCCGGCAGTGGATGTTCTGCATGAGAAGATCCCAAAATGTTACACTTCTATCTTGTCAATCCGCATCAGAATTCAGTTCTGATTTCTGGACACGTACCATTTTACTAATGCAAAAACCATCATTTCACATTCACTAGATTACTGGGAAGAAAGAAAATACAAGGGGAAAGGTAGGTTAATGAACCCATGTATATGACAGTGACATGATACGTACTAAGAAAAATGTAGGTTAAGATGTATGAACAGTTTAAAAAAATAAAATAAATAAAGGTCTACAAAGATTAAAGTTGATTGTACATATTCAGATTGCTTCCCTTTTCTTGCCTAACACACAAACGATTTTTTTATCATTCATGTTTATCTCACATCCTGTCAAAGTGTACAAGTGGACAAAAGAGATTGAGAAAGAATTAAAAAATAGGAGAAACAAAATAGGAGATGTGTTAAATGATGCGATGAAAAAAGAAATAAGAGATTTAAGGAATGGAAAAAATGGGGAAGAAACGGGTATTAAATAAAACCATAAAACCTATTTAAAGAGGCATTACGAGTTATGTAGAAGTTCTTTCTTGGTAATCCTCTTGTTGGACATGTTTCCATGGACAAGGGTGTTCTATCCCTGCTTGCCCGTGTCTATAATGCATTGTTACATTCTACCTTAATTCCAACCCAGTCATCAAAAGGTTGGTTTACTCTCATAGTGTTCCACGTAGGGATATGTTTGTTAATTAATGAAGATAATTGCAGATTACTCTATTTGAGTGTGTATTAACATTATTTTCAGCACAGAATTTTGGCAGCGTGCTTACCTAAAAGTTAAATTACAGTGTTTCATCTCGATGGAGAATAGGGATCGTTAAGTGTGTGTGTGTGTTTTTTTTTTTCCAGTTTCATCCAACTGAATCACGCCCAACTTAATTCAGCACTGTCATACTTCGTTTGTGCATTGAAAAAGTATAAAATTTTCATTCAATGTCATTCAAATAGATTTTCAAACACACTAATAGAGTTTCTCTATGTAAATTTTTCTAATTATAAATGAGTGTATGTGTGTTAGACTTGTTAAACAAAGTTGAGGGACAAGATTAACGAAAGGGGAAAAGTTAGACACCTCCTGTCCTGACACTACTAGAAAGAAACTGTTTTACGTCACCAATTTTAAGACACTATTCAGTTATTTGCACTGACATTTGGATCAAAATTTTGGCTCAATTTAGATAAGCATTACTTATAAAAGAAGAAAAAAAAAAAAAACTAACAGAAGTATAGAAAAAAAATTATGCATTTCAATTTTTAGGTAAGTTAAATACGATTTCTTTTTTAATTTATGAAAAAGAAATTGATTCATTTTAACTTCTTGATTTATTTTATTTTTTCACCATAAATACTTGTTAAAAGATTTATCAAAATAGAGTCTTATTATTTATGATAACATTGAAATGAGAATCTAGTTAATTGAGCAATGATATATTCTTTAATATATCTTCTTATTAATCAATCTAATAATAATTTTATTAAGGTGAGTGCTAACAAGCCAACTGTTTTTAACGCACCCGTTAAAGAGTTAAAAACAAAAAAAAAATATATAGAAAAATATTTCCAAAATATCCCATTGTAGTTTTTAATATTTTTATTTATTTATTTATTTATTTATTTATTATTATTATTATTATTATTATTATTTCTTAACCAGTATTCCGTATAACACTTTTGTTGACCATTGCCCTTGAATTTATTTATTTATTTTACTCAAAATATAACATTTAATGTCATTAATCTACGTCTTAAAAAAATGTTCTTAATCAATTAAATATCACGATTTTAACCAATTATTTTTGTTCAATTTTTAGTTATTGTCCACAGGACAATGTTAAAAATATAAATAAATCAAATAAAAAAGTAAACATATTTAATATCTTATAATATAATAATATTTAATATTATTTTCTTCTCTAAGTATGAAGGTTAGCAAGAAAATATTATAACATGATTTAGAGTCCCCATTATTTATCTTGTAGTTTTGGGATGTATCTGATAAGGAAAATTGACTTGTGTGTGTAAAAGTGTATGCGATGCTAAATATAAATTTCTGTGACACCATTAATATAGTGACACATTGATGGAGGACATTACTAATTGTGATAGCTTTCAAGTGAGTATCTCGTTATTTATTTTGTAGTTTGGGGATGTATTCGTTAACGAAGCTTGACCTATCGACGTAAATGTACGTCAGTAGAGGATATAAATTGTTCCACGGTTAATTTTCTTCACCTATAAAAAGTTGGACTAAATACTCATGGTTAATTGCTCCGTGACGAGTTTTAATGTTTAGAAAATTTCTTAATCATCTAATTTTCATCATAAAATTTTTATTTTCTAATTTAACCATGGATGTTAGATATAGTGAATAATTTATAGTTATTTCCATTCAAGCTTTCAGTATCCAACTATATGTGCATCTCATAATTATCGATGATATGACTGCACATATGGCCTATTTAAGTGGATAACGAAGACGATATTCAACTGTCCCTTTTGAATGTCTTCGAAGTATAACCCACTTTATGAGAAAAATAATTATTATTCTAGTTGGCTTGTTCAATAACACTCGTGAATTATGATTGAAACTAAAATAGATAATTAGTCTATTATTGATGTTATCAACAACTAACTTTAATGCCTACCTTTGTATATGATTAAGATGCGTCAAACATTTTGGCATTTTGAGACCCATCATGGTTCCACTAACAAAAAAGGGGCCCTTGTTTCTAGACTGCTCCCTGTGACTTGCATTGCAAATCACAAAGTGGTCAGGCCAAAATTTATGGCACTTTCTGGTTTAATACATCAACTGTGAAAAAAAAAATTATCCCCTAATTCTTTCTAAAGAGTTATTGCAACAAAAATAAGATAAGGCTAAAAGTCCAGACATAAACCAATCACCCTCCCCACCTGTTGAAGACAAATCATTGAAGAAGAATCTTATCAATCATATTATATTTTTTGCACCTAATACTCACTGGAGTTGATGTAGTTAGTGATCAGAGGTTTGGATGGTTTGCATGACTTTATTTATTTTTGTATTTATCTACCAGTTATTACATGTGTGATGTCTGAAATATATTTTCACAGTACCAAACTTTAGTTACTGTGGTAATCTATAACCCGTATCGGATCTTGGGCATCAAAATCTCACTTCTTGTTTTCACCCTTTCAAATGTTCCCAAATTTAAGCTGTATGGTTTGCTATTTAATTATATTTCAGGAGTGAGTTTGGGAGAAGGAACTGGTGCAACAATGTCAGATGATGAAGATGATTTGCAGATGGATTTTTCTTTAGATCAATCTAGCGCTGAAGGGCATGACATGATGGGATTTGGTCCGTTACTTCCAACAGAATCTGAAAGGTCACTGATGGAAAGAGTTCGTCAGGAACTAAAGATTGAGCTGAAACAGGTCATTCTTATAGTCAATAGCAGGTGACATGTCGTTGACTATTTTCCTTAAGTTTGGATCACCAACCAGATTTAGTTTCTGCAGGGTTTCAAGTCAAGAATTGAAGATGTCAGGGAAGAAATATTGAGAAAACGTAGAGCTGGGAAATTACCAGGTGACACAACTTCGGTGTTAAAGAACTGGTGGCAACAACATGCAAAGTGGCCTTACCCAACTGTAAGTGACCACCTTCTCATATTTCTGCTTATTACTCATATATCAAAATTTTCATAATCTATTTTGTGTTTCTTTGAAACCAAAACTAGACAATAGAGTTCACAATAGCTGCAAATCACCAACTTATTCATGTATCCATAGTGATGTTTCTTAATAAGCACATTGCTACTAAGATTCAGCAAATTACGTGACATTTATATCATGTATTATTGGCATGTTGCTATGATGCTGTCCAATGAAAGTTTGAGTTTGGCACATGAAGTTTTGATAATACGATGATATTATAGACTCTTACTCACTGAGTTGTCCTTTTGGTTATGCTTTCTTTCAGGAAGATGACAAGGCAAAACTTGTGGAGGAGACAGGGTTGCAGCTGAAACAAATCAATAATTGGTTCATCAACCAAAGGAAACGCAACTGGCACAGTAACTCTCAATCGGTTACCTCTTTGAAGTCGAAGCGCAAGAGGTAGACACATATTTTGCTTCTAACTATGTGGAAACAGCTAGCAAGCAACACAACTATATATATGGACTTACTTTATGCTTATTGCTGATATATAGAGTGTAGTGCCACTAAGGATTCAAGTCAGATGCAGAAGATAGTAGAGATGGGTTAATTACTGTAATGTAAGGTAGCTGAAAAAATATGGCTGGCTGTAAATTTGTGGAATTTAACGTATGCAAACTTTTCTGTTTTACTAGGTGTGGTTTCCTCCCTTTCTTTTAACTGTCTGTAATTAAATTGTTTGCTATTTTTCTGACCGGCGCAAGAAGTTTTACTATTACTACACACATGATTGAAAGTTTCGCGCTTCTTTTTATATAGTCTTTGGTCCTATATATATTTGAATTTTTACATCACACGAGTTCTTTTATCAGAAAGAGGAATGAGATTTCTTTCTTCAAATTAGTATCGCGATTCGCCTTGATGATGAAAGCACATTCAATTTATTTGATCCAACAATAATTGATAGTCTGGTATATGATTAGAATATGCATCTATATATGGCAGGAAATGAGTCAAGAAGACAAATTCAAACTTTAAACCTTGACTTTTTTTGGCTAATTACATGCATGTTTATTCATGAGCGATTAAGTTATAATTAAGAGTTGGAATATTTGATGCACATAAAATATAAGCTAAGCACGAGTTATAGTTTATACTCACATATATGTTAGTTAAATTATAAATCATTATCATATATATATATATATATAGTGACGGATCCAGAAAATTTGTTAAGTGAGGACAATAAAATATTCTGTATCATTTTTACTAAAAAAAATTAATAATTTTTAAAAAAATATATTTTTATGGTAAAAAATTTAAAATATCTTATTTTAATAAATTAAATTTTCTTATAAATAAAGTGATAAAATTTTTTATCTGATATTATATTTAACTATCATTTTATAATTTTTTGTGATTTATTTAATATTAGAGGAATAAAATAGTTTGTGATTTATTTAATATTAGAGGAATAAAATAGTAAAAATTAGTAGGATAAAAATAATAACATTATCAATTTGTTTTCTTTAAGTATTTTCTAAATTTCTACACTCATTTAAAACATAAACTTTTTTTAAGTTAAATGTCTAATTTTTTTCTATAAGAGTAAAAAAAAAAATGTGTGACAATTACTCTCATTCCTCTTAATATAAATTCTCTCCTACCAACACAATATACATATACATGATCAAAGGGTTAAAAAATAAAATAAAAATTTAAAAATAACCTACATTAATAAACCAAATCATGACACCTTCAATGAGTAAAGAAGTAATAAATATTTTAATAAAAAATACTGTATATTATAATAAATAAAAAAATAAGAAAGAGTTGATAGATTTACTCTACTAAATAATTCATATTCTACATCAAGTATTTATCCAATTAATTAAAAAATTTTAATGTATAGATTAAATT